TGGTCACCCCCTTCCATTCCCCTCCACCCCACCCCACCCCCCCTAGAGTGATTTCTCTTTCTCTGTCTCTGTCTGGTGAGCTCACACACCCTATAGCAAAGACTAAGAAAAAAAAGAAACAATAATTGTATACCTGATAGAGATGTGAAAATCAAATGGGCAGGGACCAGTAGTTGGCATACAATGGCTATGTCGCTGGACTCCCATGTAGTCAAGCCCAGTTTGAGTCCCAGAATCGGTGGCTTATCGGGTCGCATGCATGCACACCGCCGGGCATGTGTGCATGCATGCCCAAGATCCCAAGAGGAGAATGGAGGAGGAGAGATTGAGGCCTGGCCATCCCCCTTGGGAGGTGATTTGTCGCTTTCTGTCTGTCTGTCTGTCTGTCTGTCTCTATCTTTCTGGAGAGTACAGTCACCTTATAGTAAAAAACCTCTCCAAAAAAAAAAAAGATCAAACGGGCAAGTGTAGTCCCGGAAGACTCACCGTCACACCGTATTTGAGTGCTAGTCCAGCCAGGGTATCTCCGGGCTCCAGCTGATGCTCCAGGCGTCTTTCCCTCACTGGGGAGCAGGCCGATTGTACCAGGCTTCCATAAGAACGAGTCCGGCTCCCATGAAGCAGTCCTGACCCCCCGAGGGGGGGCTGTCTAGAGGGAGAAGCCATCCTCTCACCCTGCAAATAGCTGGGGTTGCAACTCGGGGGGTGGGGGACAGATCAGCTAAGTGACCGACAGTGACAAGCGTGAAGTCTGGCAATGGATGGATATTCTCTCGCTCCTTTCCCCTTCTCTCCTAAGTCTCCCAGACTCCCCCAGCACTGTAACGCCCACCCCTACTTCTCCTCTTTCCAAGCCGTTTATCCACAAATCTGTCCCCTGAGTATTCAGTCCCTGAGTCTCCCCTTAGCACCCCTCCCACTTTCAACCCCCCACAACTCCTCGCTACAGTGACCCCTGGCCTTTGAACTCCAGATACCCGTCACAATACTCTTTCCTCAGTTTGCCCCCAAGTTCGGCAGGCGGGTTTCGGGGTGCCCCCACATCCTGGCTCCGCCCCGCTTGGGGCACGTATGCTAGGGTCAGGAACACAGCCCAGGTGGGCTGTGGCGCCGACGAAGCGCAAGCGGATTCCGCAAGTTTGCAGGACGCTTTCCGCTCACAGGGCCTCGAAGGCCCGCTGTGCATCAGAAAGGTCACACTCTCAAATTCGGGCTCCACCGCCACGTCCTGCTCGCTCCCAAAGCCTCCAGTTCGCCAGGATGCCAGGGCCTCGGTCCAGCTGAGCCACAAGCTCTTTGAGAAAAGACTTCATTTCCCAACAGGCTCCGCGTCTGCGGGCAGCACGGCACCATAGGAAATGCAGTCCCGGGGGCGTTCTGAGGGCGGGTTTCCGGATCGCGCAGTGCATGCGTGGAAGTGCGTCCCCGGAAGTGCGGAGGCCGGAAGGAGGCCGGAAGAGAGACTGGGGACGGTCTCCTGCTACGGTGGCCTGAAGGAGAGGCGAAGTAGTTGCAACCGAATATATTCATTGTGCGACTCACAATCGTGATGTCTTTCAAGAGAGAAGGGGACGATTGGAGTCAACTCAATGTGCTCAAAGTAAGCGCTAGCAAAGAGGGTCTGGAGCAGCTTCAGCTGCCCTCTAAAGGCTGGGATGCAGCTTTGTTTCGTTGCTCTGGCAACAAATCGGGGCGCGAGGGAGCCTAGAAACTAGCGCTAAAGAGCCCCCTTTTTCTTTCTTTCTCTTTTTTTTTAGAATTATTATTATTATTTTAAAAATTATTTTAGGGACCAGCAGTTAGCGTAATGGCTATGTCGCTGGACTCCCATGTAGTCGACTGTGGTTTGAGTCCCAGACCTGGTGGCTTAAACTCACGCCGGGGGGGTGCGTGTGTGTGTGCCGAAGATCCCGAGAGGAGAATGGAGGAGAAGGGATTGAGGCATGGTCATTCCCCCCCACCCCGGGAGGGGGGTGATTTCTTGCTTTCTGTCTCCCTGTCCCTCTCTTTCTGGTGAGCGAACACGCCCTATAGCAAAAAAACCTCTCCAAAAAAAAATTATTTTAATTTAATTTTATTTGTTGTCATTATTTCATTTCATTTCATTTTTTTGATGTTGACCAGAGAGAGACAGAGAGAGAAAGAGAAGGAAAGTAAGAAAGCAAGCTGCCAGGTCCAGGACTCAACCTCTGGTCAGCTATGTGGGAGTCCAGCTGCCTTAACCACCCGCCACCTGCCGGCCCCAGAGCCCCCTTTTTCAACCCGTGGTCCTTATGCCATTGATTCCTCTTCCCTATCTCCTTTCCATCCCTGTCTCTTACATGTTCGGATTTCTTCCCCTACACCCTGCAGAAACGTAGAGTTGGAGATCTTTTGGCCAGTTACATCCCAGAGGATGAAGCGCTTATGCTACGGGATGGACGGTGAGGACGAGGACTGGATCAAACCTGAGGTTTCTGCGACTAGAGGCACAACAAATTTTTGTTACTAAGGAAAGAATCAAAAGTATCTAAGATTCTTTGGCAGGGATTAAAGATGGGAAGCAATAGAGATTGAAAGACCTGGGAATTGGGCTTTGGAAAGGACTGATAGGACAGAGGGTGGGACCTTCCCCAGGATTTCTTCCTCCCACTCCTTTTCTCCTAGAGCAGTTTTCTTCTTTAATCCTTCCCAGCTTTGCCTGTGCCATCTGTCCCCACCGACCAGTCCTGGACACCCTGGCCATGCTGACTGCCCACCGAGCAGGCAAGAAACACCTGTCCAGTAAGTGTGAGAAGACAGGATAGAGAATAAACCTTCGAAATCGCTAAGGACTTTTTTTTTTTTTTTTTTTTTTTTCATTTTTTAGCATTTAAAGAAA